GTTCAATCAATATGGATTAAATTTTGTTACGTGAGACCATTCAAAATGACTTCTGATCTCATAATTTTAAAACCTAAACATACTTATCTATCTGGTTACGATAGATAAGAGAAGGGATCTCGCTGAATATTGAAGGGCCTTATCGTCTATTACCGCAAGGCATCAGTGATTACGTCACATTCCATTGTGTTTACCAGTTTATATGTGCGTGTGATCGCACAAATATATGGAGGAGTAATCCAACTGTGCAGTTGAAGGTGGGAGAACATGCACCTTAAATGGCTTTAAAAGCAAATATAGTGTGGTACTTTGATAAGCGCAGATGGGAGACGCTTCTCTTCACCTATCGCTAAACATGTTATAGAATTAGTCAGGGGCGCATACTGAGATTTGCGGAAGCAGTAACAAAACACAGATTGAAACCACGTTCATGTGTACAAAAACAATTTGTTCTTACACTATACCTACCTTATTTTCTTACGAAGATTAGGATCAACTATGTCAGTCTTCCTTTTTGTCCTTATCTTTCTTAATCCTTCCACTCTTCGGTTTTATATAAATTGACTTGACAAATACTGACCATAAATGTAATAATCCTAACGGTCATAGCAAACTTTACGTATTACTTAAAGCATGAGATAAGTTGTCAGTCGAAAGCCAAACATACTTATTGAAGAAAGTACAGAAAAAAAAATGATTACATCTTCAATTACTCACAGAAAGTTCGAAAATCTGTGTAACTCATCAAACTTGAATGGAAAGGTAGTAGAAAAACAGATAACTGAAACAAATTAGGATAATTTCCGAGGTGATGTTCGACCCATTTAGGCTCACAAGACGTAACACACTATGATGTTATAGTCTATATAAAGAGTACTCAACTCATGTTGTCTTTGTCCATCTTTAGACATGTCTAGCTTCGCATAGCACAGAGTTAGAGAGTGCTTAGTACTCATCTTTTATCCTCTACACAAGGAAGTAGCCAATAACAATGTAAAAGATGTTATCGAATTAATTTTCAAACTGGTTAACTTGAATTTAATCGCTGAAAAGGTGATATTTCTGTAATTCTCCTCTTCATTCACCAGTATATTATTACTGGAAGCAATCGGTCAGTCACAGTAACACAGAAACTGCCATTACTGCGTAACGCTTCAACACTTTACACCTTGTGTTATAACATCCAGCTAGACGGTATCAGAATGAAAGTTGAAGAAACAAGGTAGAAAGTGGAAGAAAGTTGTGATAAGAGGAGGAATAAAATAATGGTGAAATTTAGTGTGATGATTAAGATGATTATAATATGTGGACTCATTTATCTCACTGGGATCGATTCTGAGCCCATATCACCTAGAAATTTTGACCACTAGTCTTTTTGGTCACGTGAAGTCTACATTTCCCTACGCGGTTCAGAACAACAATGAACGTTTTCACTGCCTGATGACATGTTTTAGTGTGTTCACCTGTAACTTTTTTCCAATTTGAACCTACTTTAGCTGACAATATGTGATGAAGCAAGCAGTCACTAGGCGTGGATAACATATTTGCTAGTCGTCTAAATTGGCGGAGTTTTACAACCTCATCATCTAAATTTCTTCTCCTTAAAACTCTATGCCCGCCTTCTGTGTTACTAATGCGGTGACACTGTGACACAACCCGTGCTAGGAAGGCAATGGTGGTCAAAAACGTGAAGCCTTATCATCTCGTCTACCCTTAATGGCTATATTTCAAAGTAGAAGATAGTGAACTCTAGCACAGTACAATCCACTCCTAATTAGCGGTTGAACATAATAGCAGTACCATGAATGGTGTAAGTTAACAAACGCCAATCAAGCCTTTCCAATCCGTGCAGAGATTTCGTCGGTTACTGATCCACCAAGGCAGATCTGAGCGACGTAAGTGGAGTATGCAACGTAATTAATGGCTTCATTCCTTATTAGTAAACAAGGTGCCGCCGAGGACCAGTTCTTGAGTAACAGTTTTCACGTGGGTGGTGAATGCATCCTGGAAATTTTCAAGTCTTGGTGCAAGGTATCCAGAAGACCTTGCATCTTGTCAGAGTCTTCACGTAGTAGGATTATGCAGTCTGAGTAATCTAGATCTACCAAAGATTCTGCGATAAGATCAATCCATGTGAAGTCTGACGATGAGAGGGAAACCTCGATAAGTGCGTCTGTGATAAAGTTGAATAAGAATCGAGAGAGTGGGTGTACTTGACAGATACCACTCACTGTACACGACTTACTTCAAGCTCTAACACCCCTACGGGTGTTCAAGTACGGAGCCTTCATCGGAGTGTTTACTTGGTATTTCTTTCAACGAGAAACACTGTCATGAGGCCTGTCGATCGGCGGAGACAAATGTCGCTTTCAGGTCAAGAAATACAGTCACTATCAGGCGTCGGCAATCGTGCTTGTGTTCCAAAACCTGTCTGAGTGTGAATATCTTATCCATGCACCCGTAGTTAGATCTGAAGCCTTCTTGTTTTTCATAGGTTTGCCGTTCTCGAGTTCCACTAAAACGTCTAATATTTATCGAACCTAGAATCTTAGACCTTATGTTCATCAAATTGGTCTGCCTGTGGTAATGGGATGATGATTTCTCTTCTTTGTTGAAGACCAAGGCAATAATGCGGACGGCGCACAGGTAACTGTCAACTTGGATCCTGCCGAGGAGTGCACTTTCTGCATTGGCATGCAGTGCTTTACTTACACCTACAAGACGGTTAGAGCTAGCTAAGGAAACTTGAGGCGTGAATTTCTCAGGCTCAGCATATCTGATCATGTCTGAGTATGTCACAAGCATGGCACACGTTCAGTGCTAATTATATCAAAATTTCGGATAGAAAGTCTTGTTGATGAATGTGATTGGGGGGAGTGTACACTTAGAGCTGCGATGTGTAGTGTATTTGCAGGATACCATGCATGGTGTTTCACGAACTCAAATCATTATTACGGGTTGTATAGATGAAAGAAATTGCAAATGATATAACAATATTGATTGAGAGAGGTGAGGAAAGATTCGGAGGCTATGATGTTGGAGATTGATAGTGATTTGAAGAGAGAGGAGCTTAGGTTCTGACAGATTTATGAGAGTGGCTGGCATTACTCGACTGCACACACTGTTGAAGGATTCTTCCTCGTCAGGTACATGATGAAGGAGTTGTATTAGTAGTGATGGTGTGTAACTGCAAAGTGCGTGTGGCATCTCCTTGAGGTCGATCTTACGGTACTTTCTAGATATTTCAGTTTTGGCTCTGATTGACTTTGAATTCATCTGATGACTCATCGCGCTGGCACAGGGAAACTGCAAGCCAGGGAGGAGTGTTCTGTTATTTGCTCAACTCTTTCTACTCGATTTGGTATTAAAGGGGTATCATCAGCATTCTACTGCAGCTCTACCGTGGGAAAAACCATACTTTTTCCACGCTGTCGTCCAGCCAGCAATGCAGCTTCGCTCTTGGGCTCCTCTTTATGGTATTAATTTACATTACCGCCATCCATAGAGCTGCCTGCCATGATGGAACCTCTTGTTTACAAATTATCCTACCATATTTCGTCGGGTCATTATGATATGCGAACTGTTCCCACACTTCAAGGAGAAGCAATTGGTCGATGAATCAAGATGTTAGGCTGCAAGATGAATGAGGAGAAGATTGGAATGATGAAATCATCATTTGCTGAGGTTTGGTAGGTGAAAAAAGCAAGTGACGGAATGGAATATAACGATTAGGTTGAAGATGTGGTATACTTGCCTTTGCTGCTCTGCCATGAATTCCTATCATATTCAGTTTCAGTCTCTGAACTGGTGTTCTGCGCTGACGAAGACGGGTTAGACTTAGAGGGAGACTTCTGGAGTGATGGTACTTTTTATTCTGGCCCCATTAAACTAGTCTACAGGCTAGGATTTACAGTACTATGTTAATTATCTATGGATAATGCATGAACTATCTGTGTTATTCGGTTGAAGTTAACAATGTCCTAAACTGACTTACATGTTATGCATAGGATTCTGGGCGTAAGTGTCCGTAGTATAGTGGGATTTGCACCACCGAAATGCAAATTTCGTTTGCTATATTGGCGGGAGCATGCGCCTACGCTCAACGTCGGTAGTGAGGCGTTGGAAGAAGGCGAAAAGTTCGTGTATCTGGGTAGTTGCATGAGAGTTGGTTGAGATATAAGTGATGAAATTTACAACTGCATATTGAAAGCCATACTGGCATATGCCGATTTCGGCCACCTTTGGCGCCCTTACGACCTTAGTCTGACTGTTAAACGTCGGGTGTACAACACTTCAGTGTGAGCAGTTCTGCTGTACGCCTATGAAACCTGACCTCCGTGATGGGGATGTGCGACAATTCAGTATGTTCGACCACCGTTGTCTCCATAGAACTAGTCGTATCAAGAGAAAACATCATGTAAATAATTCTGAGGTCTGACAACGTGTGTTTGGGCACGGTGGAGATTGCCATTTGATAATTGAATTCATCAGGAAACGACTTCGGTGTCTTGGACATGTGTTATGCATTTCGTCCAAACGGCTTCCATACCGTTGATTGTTTGCTTGCCCTGGGACTGGATGGAAGGGTAGTCAGAATATACATGGCGCCGTGGAATGAAGGATAGTTGTATCGGGTTAGCATCTGTTGGTGCATCACGACTCCCCTCGGATGGGTGGAGGTGTCCGAAAGATCAAGGAACTCAATAGTTTGAGGTGTGATCAGATATGATTCAGATTCTCATCGTGGCATGTCATTTAGAGATTACAAGTTGACTATTGTCTAGATTTATTTGTTCTAGATATTAACAGCTATGACTTAAGAATCTAAGCAAGTTGAATACATCAGTCTGGTGTTTAAGTTATCACAATGTAGCCAGTTAAAATGAGAACATATTGCATATTACTCTGTATTTTCTAAAAGTGTATATTTGGTTACTTTATCGGTTGTTTATTTCAGTGATCTCTAAATGTTGTTTTGCTTGTGTTCTTGTACTCAATAGATGACAATCTTTTTGGAGACATTCAATAAAGACAGTGAACGTCGAATACACTCTAATTTACCAGATTATTCTACTTTACAGTCATTCATTTATCCAAACTGGTTAATTACTCTTAAGCCTCAATTATCCGGAGTTTTTCATCGTTTTTATCTACCTCAAGAAAAATATTATCTTAGCTCATCTACATTAACACCAAAATTACTTATTAAACGACGTAATTGTTCGTTAGATAAACGTGAGTTTTCATTTTATTATAGTCTATTTTTTTCTATGTTATTGGGTGTATTATGAATTGGTTATTTAAGGTAGTTTTGGTCTAAAGGCGTGAGTCTTTCATCTAGGCTGGGATCTGTCATCTTAGGATAATACTGGGTGGAGAGAGCGGTCTGTGATATGCTTTGTACCCATATTTTCTAGATCATCATTTGGCGTTTATTGTAAAAAGTGGTGTTTTGCTCAGATTTTCTACAGATTTTCACAGACCACTTCGTCAGAGCAAGCTACTAAATCACTCATGGAGAGATAGTGACAGCTCACTTCATACTGAAGTCAGTGGTGGTGATGTCTCCGTTTAGCAAGACGATGAAAGCTTCACGATTAAACAACCCAGCTCCTCAGAGAACACAATGCAACCAGGGCCATCCACGTGAGCTACAAATATTCCCCATTAGTTCCCTGTTCTTCGGAAGTTCATTCAGCTGTGCTTTATGTTTTGTGGAAAACAGTCTTTTAGTATTTGGTTTTACGTTCATGTAATGAGGAGAATATAAAGCTAGAAGAAAGTTCAGTGAATTTGACAAGTCAATTAAATTTAACGTAGAAACTGAAAAAAACTTAGAATTCCACTTCCTGGACGTTCTGTTGAAAAGAAGACATAATAATTACATTAGAAGATCGATTTATAGAAAAATAAACCTGAAATGTACAATATATACTCATTTTCAAGCTGCATTCCAATAGTCAAGAAACGAAGTCTAATTCAATCACTATGCAAAAGAATTAAAAGAATTTGTACGGATGATGCAGTAAATGAGAAGCTGGAAGTATTTTGAAGAGTGTTCATCGAGAATGGGTTATTCTTCAATATTTATTGAGAAGAACATGAAGTTTAAGTATTTCCTATAAGGAACCGTTATAGGACCCTTACAAAAGGGAGACTGTTTATGATTATTGGATTCAAGGGGAATACATGGGAAGAGATGCTTAAGAATCGATTATTTAAAGCCCTGAAGAAGATTTTCTTCCAGCTTCGAATTGTTTTCTACAATGAACAGTCGATTCAAGGGTGTGTAAAGGATAAACTACTGCTCTGGATCACCTCCATGTGTTTCTACCAATGCACTCCCACCACCTTGTGGAGCGGAATAAATAAACCGCACACAGCTTTTTCTATCCTAACGCATCTCCTGGATGACTGTCTAAAGTAGAGTGTAAAGCCGTCAACAGCTTGATTATTGAGCATTTGATTAATTCTGGTCAAATTGTTCCACCAGTTTTTTTCTTTCGAAGTCATTTATAAAGTGAAGGCAAACACTTTGAAGGGAGTGCGTATTCTCCATCTAAACACAACAGACACCTTGACAATGCAGCGATACAAGCTTACTCTTTGCACTCAAAAGACATATATTCGATCTCTAATTTTACCTTGATCGTAATCTATTCACAGTATTTCATTTTTTGCTTTCTTTACCGTTTGTTTATATATTGTAATCCTGAAAGCAATTTTTGATGATCAGTTGACACTGGAGTCCTCATCATCTTGTGATTTAACTGACCATTTTTGATGGTTTTGTGTAGACCCATTTAGTGTTAGTGGCTAATCCCTAAGATAACTAAGTTATAATATGTTTATACTATAATTGTAAAGTTTAAGCCCTATTTTCTCGCCCTTTTTGCGGAATGCTATGTTGCTTATTTTTACCTCAGTCTAAGATACTAAACGCTGATTGGTCCATTTTACATTTTGAATATGCTATTGTGTTTTCCCTAACCAAGGCCACCTATGATTATTCGGTTGGAGTAAATACGCTTTGAATCCCATCGTCTTCTTCTGGTGTTAGCTGAATATCGAGTTGAGAAGTCATTGTTCTCTCGTTAGTCATATCGTCTCGGAGTGTTGTATCGTTACTTATACTGTTAGATCATACCAATTAGTTATTGATGGAAATTTATATTTCGATAATCCTTAATAAGATGAGAATATCTGTCATATGTCACCTACTGTGTGTTTCTCATAGCCCTGGCGACGTAATTATATCTTGATCCTCTCAAGTTGTTATAAACCTTCAATCAATGTAATATTATTCCTTTTTATTTACAACTTTGTTTGTTTTCTGTTTAAATTGTTTTATTTTCTTCATTTTAACTATAGAATTTATGGGAATGATTACAATGAACACGCTTTGGTGTAACTACTTTCATTATGTTGCCATTGAGTGAGTTATCACATGAAGGATTCTAATATTTCTTGATGAGTAACTGCATGAATGTAATTCTTTAAATGAGTATGATAATAACTAATGCTCAGTATAATCGAACGAAATAAAAAGGATCTAATTTTCTCGATATGTATTGAATAATATACCTATTGCTTCAACACAATGGTACAAAATTATCTTTTCTTAATCTGCATTCACCTTCAAGCAGGATATTACTCGGCTGTTTATGGAATATGAGAAATTGATCGCAAGATGGTATCATTCATTGCTTATATGACTTTACCATTAGATGAAAATCAATATGGCTGTCAAATTTTAAATGCTAAAGGTTGACTGATGTCTAGCGATCAAGTTTTGTAATGTAGCCCTCTAACTACTATTGCAACACTAAGGTGTACTGTATTATGATGGTAGGCCATCGACACTAGGTGTATATTTGTTGGGTCTCATGCAAACGTGTGAGGATTTGTTTCCTTCCAGCGATTCAAATTTGCATGATTCAGTGCTGAATTCAGAGACTCTATCAGTAAACTGCTTATGCCAAATCCAGGATGCGCATTTCGTCCTATTTGGGACTCATTAGCTGGGTGTACCTGCCTCCAAGTGAGTGATGTTGTTCCCACCAGGACTCGGACTCAGGAGCGATTGCTCCAAACACCTGAGCGTAGTTGACTACACCATCGAGCCACCATAGCCACTTCTTGTGCGACGGGCATAGTTTTAGTGTTATTGCTTGTATTACACCGTCGTTGATTGGACCGGAATTGATCAGGCTCTGTTGGCATATGGGCTCTTGTGCGGATGCCTCGATATTGCCTATGTTTAATTGTGCATAGTAATGATGGGCAATGGCTAGCAGTTGAATCCAGGATTGCGCATTCCGTCGTATTTGGGACTCGTCAGCTGGATGTACCTGCCTCCCAGTGAGTGATGCGCATTCTGGATTCCACTGTTAGCCACTACTCATCAATACTATACATAATTAAAACACAGGCAATATCGAGGCATCCGCACAGGAGCCCATAAGCCAACAGAGACTGGTCAATTCCGGTCCAATCAACGACGGTGTAATAAAAGAAATAACACTAATACTTACGCCAGAGATGACTGTTCAGTTAGAAGTTTTTTCACACGCCCCGGTCTCACAAGTGTCAAACGTCAACTGCAGAGCTTAGTCGCTAGGTGTCTGAGATAGTCCATGAATTCTGTGCGTTTGAATCCCCTTGGTTTGATCTGTGTACAGAAGTGTAGACTGCATTGATAAGTCTTTGATATGTCAGGCACGCATTTATGTCCACTCTTTAGCATCGTCAATACCCTTCATTTTTTCTCCTCTCAACTCATTCACTTTTCGTATCCACTTTTTCATTCCTTGATGCTGTGAAATGTGATAGCACCTACAAGCTCCAAACGTGGGTCAGGTTTCCTATTGATAGAATTCTAATATGTAACTCTAAAGTCTTTCGTTTCTTGCTCTCGTTTTAGATTGTGAACATGAGACCTATATTCTCTAGCAACTCTAGTTATATTATTTGACCATCGATGAAAGTTACCTTAGTGTCACTTACATTGGGCCAGTAGGTGAGGGATTTTATCTAGGATAGTGAAGTTTATTACTGAGAAAGATACCATTTAGCCACTCGGTTGGAATGCAGAGGTCTACGTTTTTCTGCTACTGTTTTATGCCCGGTAGCGCGACCTAGCAGTCTGCAAGCGATTCGGACCTAACGCGCAAACGACTATTACAATAGCTCATCAGACCGTCAAGCACCACAAAAACAATACCACCAGCACGCGAAGACACGCAGAAAAGAATAATATTTGACAGAGAGCTTATGCTGTCTCGACAACAGTCAAAACATTTGGGAGCAATGCCGAATATGTGCATTTCTAAACGACCTTGAAAAATATTAAATTGATTGGTGAGTTAACAACCAATGAGAGTTCGGCCTTCATAAGCAGCGGGAGAAACGATAGCTAACAACGGCACTAAAAGGGCTCAAAAATAGCAGTAATAAAGTTTTTTAATGCAATAGGCAAATATCAAGCAGAAGTTAAACAAAATTAGGAGTGCATAACATTTGCTCAATACCCCAAAATTTGCACCGCAGCGGGTTTCGAACCATAGGCCACTTGGTTTCTGGTTATGAGACCCGACTGCTGACTTCATTTTCATTTCACTTCAACCACTAAAAGTTTTGCCTGACTACTATATGAATTCGTGACACTGACTGCCTAGTCAGGACTTCTCATCCCAACCCAAATTTAACTGAATTAGATTGAAATGACTGTTCACACTGCAATAAGCAGAAAACAATGTACACGCAAAATCCACTTTAATCGTTTTTAACCTGGAGACATCCTGATTTCATAGCTTGTAAATCTCCGTTTTAAAACAAAAATATATTATACCCATCGCACAAGGAAATGGCTCAATGGATGATGCTACATCGTTTGGAGCATTGGGTATTAGGTTTAAGTCATAGTTGGAACAATATAATTCACTAGGATGCAGGTGTATGCATCTAACGAGTTCAAAATAGAACGAATTACACTTCCTCAACCCCATTTCTAACCGCTATCTATCATTTGTATTTAACTTGGTGACTTGTATCTTATTCTACAACTATCATCCAGTTTCAGGTTTATAACAATTATATTTTTATGCTTGCATTCATCTGTGAATGATATTTTTTGGGTAAACATTAACAACATGGGGCATTGGACTGTTGTTTCGTCCTAGTATAGGTATGACTCCTCAGAAGTGTTCACCCATGACTACCCTGGGGACTAAAAACAGGACCTTAAGATTTCATGGTGATTGTGTTATCCATTCAGCCATTTGGTGGGAGTTCAATTGATCAACAATTTCCTACCTTTTTCAATTCGTAATATATCACGACTATTCAGTATCCTGTGCTCTGACGTTTTCACTTCATGTATTAATCCATGATGAAAACAATCTTAAAAATATCCATCTTTTAAAATAAGGTTATCTCAAAATATTTGATTAGGAGTTATATATACTGGAAGATGATGCCCTTTATAAGAAGCGGGAAAAAGTAGTTTAACTAAACCATTAAAATTAAATAGCCCTTTAGTTACTCCAGATAACAATTACTAGTAGAGTTGACCAATCAGGGCAAAAACAATGGCTTGACCAATAGGGACACATTGAGGAGAAATCTGAGTGATCTTGGCATACGTTTCGTTGGCACCTGTCAAATGTAAGATGATACTCTAAGATTGGTCGGTTCCAAGTACTCCCAGTTTAGTGGTACCGGCCTGCCCCAACTTTGGGCTATCAATAAAGTTTTCCACCTATCCATAGTAATTTCAATCCTTCCCTTTCACAGTTGGCTTTCATCTTTTAAAATGTTCCCTGAACTAGCCTTTTTTTGATTTAAAAAAAAGAGTGAAATTTTTTATTATTTTGACCATCTGAGATAGCTATGGTTTGGTAGACTAGTATTGATGATACTGGATGACGATTGAAGGTGAGATGAAAATTTGAACCACTTCCGGATTCGAACCAGCAACCACCAGGTTTCCGCCGGATGCTGTACCAACTGAGTTCCCCCTCTCTAAATGAGTTAGGTTTGCATTGGGATGAGAAGTCCTGACTGGACAAGAAGTATGAGTACGATCAAGTGATAGTAACGCATCAAAAATTCATATTGTAGTCGGCCAAAACAACCCTTGGTGATTGAAGTGAAATAAAAATCTGATCGGCAGTCGGGTCTCGTAACTAGAAACCCAGTGGTCTCCGGTTCGAACCCCGCCGCGGTCTTGAATAGTACATTTTTCTACTGGGTGTATGAACTGCAAACACTAAACATCGGATGCTAATCCGTCACTAACCGGCTACTTCACATTATCGCCTTCGATGCTGTTATTATAGACATCACTCAAACGCAATGGTTATTTTATTTGAAACATTGTTTAGGGAGTGAATTTGTCAACATCTTACATGGTGAGGATCCTATACTGCATCTAACATATTGTTTGAATAAAGCTGCTATTGTTATTATTGACCTTAGTGACTGAAGTGGTGAAATGTGTCGACCACTTCACCTGAGGAGTTGCGTCGTCTTGAACGGGCTAATTGCTGGCGAAATTTCAGCTTAGATACAAAAGGCCTGTTTAACATTTGCCAACTTGCATCATCTGGGGCATCGGCGACATATCCGACTATTTATCAAAGAATGAGCAGGCTGTGTTCTTGTCGTTTCTATCCTGTTATCTGGCTGTGAGACATGGCTGTTGAAAGAAGAAGACATAAAGTAGTTACATGGTTTTGATCACAGATATCTTTGTAGCATTGCTCGCGTTTGGTGGAATCACCGTGCAAAGGGTACTACACAAGCCAGACGAGTCAATTAATAAGGTTTTGGACCTTCATGTACATGCTGAGCTAGCGCCTACCTCCATGTGTCATACAATGGGAAGTTGGATTAGATTGTTTGAGCAGTATGGGGAGATGTAGACTAGCTGTCTGACTGGGGTCCCCGAGACAATACAAATCATTGGTTTAGAAATCACGTTGAGATGGCTGGAAATCGGTGACAATGGTCCAGATGTATTCACTCTTTGACGTATTCTCAAGCTTGAATATTTTCCTTGATGCTTACCTTCAACTTATTCAGATAACTGCAATCAGTAATGGACAAGATTCCAGCCCAGTTGGCGACATCAAGATTCTAATGGGTGACGTGAATCCTAAACTCGGAGCCGGTAACACAGGTAGAGAACCAATCATCGGTCTAGAAGCACTCGGTGAAATGAACGAGAATGGAGAACTCTCTACACACTTCTGCGCATTCAACGATTTTGGTGATTGGAGGCAGTGTGTACAAGCACAAGGATATTCACAAACAGACATGGATTCGATTTCACCACATAGACATACTAAAAACCAAATTGACTTCATTTCAATCTGAAGATAATAGAGACGCAGCCGACTGAACACAAGATCAGATCAAGAAGAGGAGCAAAAG